TGATACTGCAGATGTCTGCAAAGATGCATCCTGTGAATGAGTGAGGAAAAAAATCTGTTTCTTGTTTTGTAATTCACTGTCTAGCTTATATCCATTCAACACTTTAGTTCTGAGATCTTTGCATTCTTAATGCTTGAGAACAATTTGCCAATTAGCCTGTCTTGGGAAGCTGGTGACCTCCTGGATCTTTTCATTCTTCCTATCCTAGTGCTTTAGATATTTTCCTAATCAATCTGTTATCACACACCTCTGGACCAGGTTGGACTTGAACCATGGCCTTCTGGCTCAGAGGTAGTGACACTACCACTGCATCACAAGAGCTCTTTTGTTCTCAGGCTAGGACTTCAAATTTATTGCATAAGTGGACAGAGTTAGTGTGGATATGCCTTATGTTGCTTAGGATTTTGCGCATGACTATATATATTTGTCAATATGTTGGAGTTTCTGATGATTGAGTATAAGAGACCAGCAAGGAAGAAGAGATAGTAGGAACTGCCGATGCTGGAGAATCTGATATAACAAGGTGTAGAGCTCGATGAACATAGCAGGCCAAGCAGCATCAGAAGAGCAGGAAAGCTGACGTTTCAGGTTTAGACCCTTCTTCAGAAATTTTGAGGAAGGTTTCTGAAGAAGGGTCTAGACCTGAAACGTCAGCTTTCCTGCTCTTCTGATGCTGCTTGGCCTGTTGTGTTCATCCAGCTCTACACCTTGTTATAGCAAGGAGGAAGGATTGGCATGGCTAAGTTCCAGCTGTAAAACAACCATGCATTATCATTTGAGTAGCAAAATGTCTACATAGGAGCAGAGGTGAACAGTTATCGTAGAGATGAAGGTAAGGTGTCTTTGTATTGAAGAACAATAAGGTTTTGAAATTTAGTTTAGGGTCAAACAGGCTGACTTAAGACAGTTATCAAAAAGGGTCAGTTGCAAATTGAAGTTTGTACAAGGGACAAAAGAAGGCATATTGATCATTCCAGGTTTATGTGAATAGAATTATGTGTATCAACATGATGATTATTTAGTTTATTGCTTCAACTTCATCAGAATTAATAAGAATATGTTTGCACTAAGTATTAATCATTCAGACATTTTGTGGACTTATTTGTTGTGATGAAGAATGGTTGAACACATGGTAACTTTGCACTTTTCTGTCACCATCCTTTTGTCATTGACTTTCTGTGAGTGTTGGTGGGGAAACTCCACTTGACACTTAATTATCACAATTTAACTGGATAACAAGCAGAAGCTGAAACTCCTCAGAGATAGTAAGAACTGCCGATGCTGGAGTCAGAGATAACACAGTGTGAAGCTAGAGGAACACAGCAGATTTCTGAAGAAGGGTCCCAACCCAAAACGTCAGTTTTCCTGCTCCTCTGATGCTGCCTGGCCAGCTGTGTTCCTCCAGCTCCACACTGTGTTATCTATAAGCTGGAACTCTTGACTCTTTGGAGAGTTGGATTCCAATCGGGCTTTGCTTGTTACTAGTTCCCTGGCCACATGGGTGTTTTCCCTGGTGGTGGACATATTAAAAACATTATTTGCAATGGTGTCTTCACTTAGTCCCTGCACTTACACACACACACACACACACACACACACAAAACATAGTTGCTGTGGAGAGAAAAAGAAGCATTACTTAAAAAGGAAAAAAAAGAGAAAAAAATGGAGTGTTGGATTTTTGGGGTTGGGAAATTCTTAAGGTTGCCTTAGGTTTATCTAGGGTCAAAATAAGGTGCATCTTTCTCATGATTGGCGGGCAAAGATACCAACAGAGGATATGTCTTAGAAGACAATGATTATCAGCAGGCTGAGTTATTCACATGATCCAAAAGTGTAAACATGGCCACAATACAAAACAAGCTGATACCCGAGAAGGAAAAACTCCATAGAGTCATAGAGTCATAAAGATGTGCAGCACAGAAACAGACCCTTCAGTCCAACTTGTCCATACTGACCGGAATTCAATCAATCTCAATTAATCTAGTCCCAATTGCAAGCATTTGCCCCATATCCAGCTAAACCCTTTGTATTCATATACCCATCCAGATGCCTTTTCCTTGTAATTGTACCAGACTCCATCACCTCCTCTGGTAGTTCATTCCCTACACAAACCACCCGCTGTGTGAAAAAGTTGTCCCTTAGGTCTCTTTTAAATCTTTCCCTTCTCACCTTAAACCTATGCCCTCTAGTTTTGGACTCCCCTAACCTGGGAAAAGACCTTAATAAAAACCAAAAGAACTGCGGATCCTGTAAATCAGGAACAAAAACAAAGTTGCTGGAAAAGCTCAGCAGGCCTGGCAGCATCTGTCGGGCAGAAAACAGAGTTAATGTTTTGGGTCCAGTGTCCCTTCCTCAGAACCCGAAACGTTAACTCTGTTTTCTCCTCCACAGATGCTGCCAGACCTGCTGGGAAAAGACCTTGGCTATTCACGTTTATCCACACCCCTCGTGATTTTATAAACTTCTGCAAGGTCACCCCTCAGCCTTTGACACTCCAGGGAAACTAGCCCAAGCCTATTCAGTCTCTCCCTATAGTTCAAACCCTCCAACTCAAAGCCAATCTACTTCAGAGAAAAAAACAGTCAAGGATAACTAAAACCATAAGGGATAGCATTACACTAAATCCTGTGATGGGGTAGTAGTGGCCCTCTGTCTGAGTCAGGAGGTCAAGATTCAAGTGCCATCTGCTCCAGAGTTGTGTAATAACATCTCTGAGCTGTCTGATTAAAAGTTATATAAAACTGAAAGAGAGGACTTACAACAATGCTAAAACAGAACGGATCCTCGTAATGGGAAAAAATGCAAAGGGCCACAAAACATCTTATAAGATTTACTGAAAGGGATTATGAAAGAACACTTGAAAGGGACATCAAAATCCATAAAAAAGAAATTTTATAGTTACATAAAAGGAAAGTAGGAGTTCAGGAGCAATGTTGGCTTTCTAAAGACTGAAAGTGGAAATATTGTCAATGACTAGGGAGATATGCAGACATGTTGAATAATTACTTTGCTTCAGTATTTACAGTAGAAAAGGAGTATAGGTTATTGGAAGAGCTGAGGAAATTAATAGTGTGTTGGGAGCAGGGACTGAGTAAAATTAACATAAGTAAATCATCGGTAATGAGAAAATTAATGAAATTAAAGAGTGACAAATCCCTGGATCTGATGGTTTTCATCCAAGAGTTGGGGATCACATTGTAGATGCCTGAACTATAATCTTTGAGAGTTCCCTATATACAGGAGCCATCCCTCTGGATTGGAAAATTGCACATGTCACTTCACTTTTTGGGAAGAGGAAAAGCAGGGAAATTACAGACCAGTTAACCTAACATCCATGGTGGGGAAATAGTTGGAACCTATAAGCAACATCTCGAAATTTTTCAGTTAACCAGGGAGAGCCAGCATGGCTTCATGACATGTAGGCCATGCCTGACAAACCTTTTGAATTTTTTGAAGAGGTGGCTGAGGTAGTGGATAGGGGATCATCTATGGATGATGTTTATCTGGCCTTTAGCAAGGCATTGGATAAAGACTGTTAACTAAGATAGAAACCTACAGAATTGAGGGCAAATTATTGACACGGCTGGGAAATTGGTTGAGTGGCAGGCGACAGAAAGTAAGGATAATGGGTAGACACTGAAATTGGCAGGATGTGACCAGTAGAGTCCCACAAGGATCCATGTTAGGGACTCAATTATTCACATTATTTATTAACAACTTAGATCATGACATAGAAAGTTATATATCCAAATTTGCTGATGACACAAAGTTAGGCAGCATTCCAGATAAGAGCATAAAATTACAAAGTTATTGATAGATTAAGTGAATGTGCAAAACTGTGGTAGATGGAAATTCAAGGTAAACAAATATGAGGTGATTCATTTTGGACAAAAAAGATAGATCAGGGTACTTTCCAGATGGTAAGAAGTTAAATACAAGTGAATGTTCAAAAGAGACTTGGAGGGTGTGCATAGATCTTTCAAATGTCATGAACCAGTGCAGAAGATAATCAAGAGAGCTAATGGAATGGTGGCCTTTATATTGAGAGGACTGGAGTACGAGGATACAGAAGTTATGCTGCAGTTATCCTAAGCTTTTGTTAGACCCCACTGTGAGCAGAACTGGACACCACATCTTAGGAAGGATATAATGGTCATGGACGGAGTACAATGTAGGTTGACAAGAATGATACCTCGGCTTCAGGGATTAGATTATGAGGAGAGATTATACAAATTAGGCCTGTTTTCTCTAGAATTTAGAAGGTTAAGGGATGATCTGAATGAAATCTTTAAGATATTAACAGGAAAAGACAGGGTAGATAAGGATAAACCATTTCCACTGGTTGGGGATTCTAGAACTCAGGACCATAGTCTGAGAATTAGGGCCACACCACTCAGGAGAGATGCAAAGGAGCATTTCTATACGCAAAGAGTGGGAGATGTTTGGAACTCTACTGGATGGATGCTGGATCAGTTATTAATTTTAAGTCTAGATTGTTTCGTTAAGCAAAGGTATCAAGGGATATGGTGTTAGGCCACAAATCAGCCATAATCCCATTGAATGGTGGAATGGACTCTAGGGACTACTCCTGTTCCTGAGTTCGTAACGAATAAGTATGCCAGTCATTTGGGCTGAAGAGCTCAAAAAATGATGCAAATGAACTGTATTACCTTTTCTTTTCTCTAAGTCTCAGTATTGTCTATTGTTTCTATGTTCCTTTCTCAACATTACTCATTGTTCAAAGTTGCAAATATGGAAACATTCACAAATCTCAAATTCCATGAAAATGTATAATCACTCCTTTAATACATTGCATTTCACCAGATCTTTAAAGGTGGAGGCTTGTCCCTTCACGATTATACATTGCTCCTGAACCTGTAGGATGTCTAGTCTTTTAAAGTCATTGCAATGCTCCTGTTGCCTGCTGGTTGGGTGCCTGTCCCTTTAATGGTATTGCATTGCTCTCGATCCCTGCAGGCAGGGTGCCTTCCCCTTTAAAAATGTATCCGCCGTTGGGGGCGGGTCGGCACGTCGATGCGTTGCCAGCCCCAGGGAGCAGCCTCGGTGATTGGGTGGCTGGGGCTGTCTGTCAGCCTCGGAAGCTCCGGACACCAACCTGGAAGCGAAAAGCGGCGGTGGCGGAGCGTCTGAGTCCGGTGCGGGCTCTGGGCCCCGGGACGAGGTGGGCTAAGTGATTGACAGGTGCGAGCTCCGGGAAGTGGTGGGGGTTAGGGGAGGGGGAGGTCGGTGCGGTAACAAAGGCGCTGAGCAGCCCCTCCTCCTCCTCCCCGCCACCGGGTGATCCCCGGTCAAAGCACCCGGGCCCGAGTCAGGGGCAACCTTTACCCTCAAGTCCCTGCTCCATCTCGGCTGTCTCCGCTGGTAATTGACAGCGATCGGGAAAGAGCAACATTCAGGTAACTTTGTAACCCTTTTGTAATGAATAGCTTAGCGCTCTGTCTTCGCCCCTTCCGTCCGCAGCCTTTGTGACTGTCACAGTGTGTCAATAATGTAGCCAGCAAAAGTTTGTTTACTGTGCAAGACGGGGGCTTTGTTTAAAGGTCTCGTTTTCTGCTTTGACACGGGGATCAACCAGCTCACCCTGTGGGAGAGAGCCCTTCTCCAGAGTCTCCTGCCCCCCACCCTCACCCCTATAACAAAGGCTG